CACCCAAGACGCCGCTGCCCTGATGCCGGTCATCCACTCCGCACCGGAGCACACATGATGGCTGCGTGGTGGAGAACATGACTGCTTTTTTTTTGTTGCTTGCAAACTCACTTCAGCCTGCAAAAGCATACATTTTTTGCCCAAACTCTCCCTCCCCACACACAGCAATAAACTAAGAGACAAAGAGGTTATTATTTATGAAGTATTGTTGGCACACACCCACAAACTGTAATCATTCCTGTTGCAACCTCGGACACACACTCAAACAAAAAAAATGCTACTGGGATATCACTGGCCATAATGATTCTGTGGCGCACAGCAGAGTGATTCCCTAATCATTGTATCCCTATTTACACATAAACAACCAACGATATATAAAAAATATTTCCTAAAAAGTATATATCCTGAAACTCAAGCTGCTATTTCTTATTTTTAGTTCCTTTTGTTGTTGCTATTTGCTGACGTTGTGCCTTTTTAGTATTCTTTCTTTCTCTCGCTGGTTGTCGCCGACTTTGGGCATTATTTTCAGGCCGCACATCTTCAGCTGATATCGCCACCCGGTATTGATATACATTTTCTTTCCAGTAGTTTGCAGCCTCCTGGTCCTCCTTCGCTTTCGCTCCCGCCTTCTTTTTATCCCCTGCTACTCCTCTGTGTCGCTTCTTTGCTTTGACGCCCGCATTCGGGGAATTCTCGCATTTCTGCCACGTCGTTGCTGCCCGACTCCCTCGATGCTGCCCGTAAATAATCTCCCACGACAAGTCTGCGGCAAAAGTTTCCCAGCCTCTAAAATACTCTGCCATACGCTCCATGAACTGCTTTACTTTGCTGGGTTGGGTGTGATGCGCACCCCTCACTGTCGTCTGCAGCCCAACCATCGTCTTCCGCGGTGTGTCCACGAAGAAAAAGCCGTCTATCAGCGGAAAGCTTTGCGCGTCGGGTACGTACAACACCCCATAATCCACATCAATCTTCGGGGGTTTGTATTCCAGTAGCGTCAATAAAACTGACACTTCTGGATGCGTTTCAGGGTGCGATTGCAGCACACATGGACGTCCCGGGCGCCTTGTTGGTGGCTTCAGCTCTTTAAGTCTTCCTTTTATATTATCCACAAAGCCCCTGTCCGTGAATGCGTGCACACCATACACTTCCAGACCTTCCGACAAAAGCAAACCCCTCAGCCTCAATAAATGATACAAAATATTATTCTGCTTGCCTACACCTGTCAACTTTATGATTCGTTGGTGCCCGAGGCGTGAACAAACCGGCAGGTTCACAAACGTCTCGTCAGCGCCCACTCCATTGATTCGGACAGCTTTCACCAGCTTGCTAGACGCGTCATTCGCAGTCCACATTGCCGTGCCTACAATAAAACCGTAATTATGAGCATTCGAAGCGTTGATCCCTCCCACGACCTGCTTAGTCAGGGTCAGGCGTGTGTCATACTTACTGTCATCAAAAATGCATCGTGGGATTGGTCCCACGTAACACATGCGTTTTTTTATCTTCTCCCAGTACATCTTTTGGACCTGCGCAGACTTATTGCGCGTCTCCCAGACGCACATCGCCTTCACGTCATTCTCGTCCGGGCAATTCATAACGATAAGGACAGCATCCCTTTGCTTCGCCCATGATTTGAAGTTATCTTCGTTCGGGGACGACAACAGAATGAAGCCCCACGTTGCCGGCGATGGAAACCTATCCGGTGGTCCATGACCTTTTTCAGGCACATCGTAGATAATATACCCTTTTATCCCACGCGCAGCCAAAACTTTAATTATAATGATAATTTCCTTTTTATCTACGTATTCCACCAGCGTTTTGTTCGTCTTGTCAAACACGTACGCCAGCCCTGCGCCAAAGCAGTAGACAACTACCTGGAGTTTAGTATCACTGTGGCGCAGCATCTGGTGGAGCAGGTAAGAGCCGGCAGCCATCGATTTCCCGATCCCGGGCGTCCCAAGCAAGAGACGCCGCCTCAAGTCAAAATACTGTAGACCTCTAGAGCCGAACTCTCCGTCTAAATCGCCTTTGACAATTCGCCACACCCGCTGCACCTCACGGGTGACGTAGCAGTCGGTAATAGTTTGTCCCTGCCTTAGCGAGTACGGCCAGCCCATCTCAGAGGTTAGCACAATCAGCCTGGGACGCGGTGCACGAAACTGCTGTGCACCGCCCGCCGGTAAAAGCCTTGCGCCCTTCCGCGTGTATTGCCACAACTGAGTTGGCCGTTGGCCCTCCTTCACCTCCATTCGCACCTCCATTTCTTCCCCCTCGCCCTCGGGAAACTCCAAGACGTGACTCCACTTCGCGTTGAGCACCGAGTCGTAGAAGCCATTCGGTATCGGCAGCCTGTTACTTGCCTGTGTTCGAGTTGCCGTTTCGGTTGCCTCCTCCACCGCGGCGAGGGCCGATCGGAGTTTTGTCCTTGTAGTAGCAGAGACAATTGTTCTTC